GATCAGCTATACCATGTAGTCCATGATCATGTGACATTTGACACCATGGACTAATCAGCTATACCTTGTAGTCCATGATTATGGGACATTTGGCACCATGGTTTAAAAAGCTATACTTTGTAGTCCATGATCATGTGACATTTGGCACCATTGACTAATCAGCTATACCTTCTAGTCCATGATCATGTGACATTTGGCACTATGGACGAATCAACTATACCTTGTAGTCCATGATCATGTGACATTTGACACAATGGACTAATCAGCTATACTTTGTAGTCCATGATTATGTGACATTTGGCACCATGGACTAAATCAGCTATACCTTGTAGTCCATGATCATGTGACATTTGACACCATGGGCTAATCAGCTATACCTTGTAGTCCATGATCATGTGACATTTGGCACCATGGACTAATCAGCTATACCTTGTAGTCCATGATTATGGGACATTTGGCACCATGGTTTAAAAAGCTATACTTTGTAGTCCATGATCATGTGACATTTGGCACTATGGACGAATCAACTATACCTTGTAGTCCATGATCATGTGACATTTGACACAATGGACTAATCAGCTATACTTTGTAGTCCATGATTATGTGACATTTGGCACCATGGACTAAATCAGCTATACCTTGTAGTCCATGATCATGTGACATTTGACACCATGGGCTAATCAGCTATATCTTGTAGTCCATGATCATGCGACATTTGGCACTATGGACGAATTAGCTATACCTTGTAGTCCATGATCATGTGACATTTGACACCATGGACTAATCAGCTATAACTTGTAGTCTATGATCATGTGACATTTGGCACCATGGACTAATCTGCTATACCTTGTATTCCATGATCATTTAAAACATTCCACCATGAGCAATAGCTTGTTTTGGAGGCACAAAATATTTGGAATAATTATTGCTGGCTACTTTTAATCTGGCCACTTGAGTGAATAAGCATCTTGTATTGGTGACTGGAATAGTTAATAAGGATATTGGACACTTGGTTAAATTTATCAGCAAATGTAATCTACCCTAATATTACATTATATATAATGTGCTAGGAAAAAAACAACAATTTATTATGTTAAACACATTTCAAAATTGGATGATCATACAACATGAAATAACATTTGATATGTACATTGCAAGAAAAGCGATAATGTATAATTTTCAATTCTGTTATGCTGAAGGATAAGAATGTAGTCTCTGGGTGGCTGGCTGCAGTTTATTCGAAGAATGTATACAAGACAGAATTCAATATGTCAAAAAAAACATGCCAACAAGCAAGCTGCTCTCTGATTGGTCTGACTGTTTGGTTTGGTTAGCCAATCAGGCACCATCTTGTAAGTAGCTTCACATCCCCTTGCTGGTTGTTATATCGCCTCAGTAATGTTCATCCTTGTAAAAGCATACTTGTTTGTCTTTATGCAGATTCAAAAGTGCTAAGGTTGTCTTCACAGGGCAGTGTGTGAATCGCCACTATTGTATTCATGTGCAAACTGGAAATTAACCACACTTTTACAAAGTGCAAGTAAAGGAGTTGATGAAAATTTTAATATGGTAATCTAAACAGAGGATTTGGTTTCATCATGAATGCCAACTTAATGTAATTGAATTATAACATTTTAGGACTTTTACTAAGCAAAAATAAGTCTGTGCATGTCTTAAAAACAGGTATAAACACACCAACACAATTCTCACTAAGATGAAAGAATGCCAAGAAAAAATTCCAGTGCACTGAAAATATTGGAGGCAAGTAGAAAGCTATTAAAATGCAAGGCCTATATAAATACAGCTTTGCTCTATATTCATGTATATACATGTACTACTAACATGATTTTAAATCATCTGATTTATTCCATAGCACCTGTGCACAAAATTCAAGTGGTTATTGAGATATCAGTAAATTGTATTATCCAAAAATTATCAGGTTAGTGCATTATCAATGATACATGATGAGTGATACTTGAGAAACTTGTGGAAGTTAAAATAAGCCTTTTTTTATATGCACGATTTCAACCATAACTAATCATTTATGTTGAGTATCCCAGTCCATCTATGGAGCAAGTTTGATTCAAAAGGTTCATGAACTATTATGTATACAAAGTAAGAAATATACACAAATTCAATTATAATGTCTGGATTCCTGTGGAGCACCTGTGTACCATGTGTCATTTAAATCTATATTGAATAGTTATTGCGATATCTGCAAAAAAAGTTAAAATTTGTTATGCAAATTACATAATTATTATGCACGATATCGACATAATCAATTTTGATTATGCCAGCGGTTTGAATTTGAATGGTGAAGTAATTGTTCAGGTAAAATTGTGCATGAAGAGATATGCTGCAGAGTTGAATGTCTGAATAATTACTTCAATATAGCAGTGTATGAAATAGGCCATAAATTATTGCCAAACATCAGAACTTTTAAAGTTGTCCGTCCTGGTAGAAAGTTACTAGTCCTGTATTTTTTTTTGGCTCATGTTTTCACTCTCACTACAAATTAAATATAGAACACATTGTCATTGTTAAACTGGATTATTTGCTCATTTTATTTTCACTGTGAGAAAGGATCATAAACAACTCTGCATAATTTACAGTAAACCTCCCTGCTTACCCACGCAGTCATTCACAATTAGACAAGCAAAATCTTATTTCCACAATGCTACAATTGTTCGTTTTCTTATTGTATACATTAAGAGCTTTCTTCCATTGCTATTTTTGTTTTTCTTTGGCGAAGACTCAATCCCAAGAAAACGGCTCAAAATCGCTACTATGAGGCACTGCTAACGACACACTGTTAAAATTGTCCTAAGATATCACCTGATCATGTGAATCAAATTTGATTGAAAGCGTCCCCATAATACATTTGCACTCCAATTCTAATACATCCAGAAATGATGCATTCGTATTTGTAATTAATACAGTCCTAAATCTTAATATTTAACTAAACAACAGCCCGACACTCAGACTTGGAAATTTACCCCTTGCAAGTGAAAAGTTATCCATCACGAAACGGACGGACGGACGAACAGGCAATTACTTCAAACACTGAATATAGGTTGATATGATATAGTATTGAAAAGTGAAATGTAAAACTTCAGGACAATTAGTTGGGGTTTATCAAAACAGAAATGTATCAACAAGCAAGCAGCGTTGACCTGAATAGCATTCTTACTGGATTGAATGTGTCACCAACAAGTCTAAGAAAAGTTTAACCCAGCTTTCACCATTTTTACACTCGCATAATACACATTTTTCGTGAATTACTGATTATCATTTTTTTATTTTCATAACACAAAATTGAATTACTCTATTTGTTCTATAAGCATGTTTATTACAATAAGCCATATTTTAATGATTCATCATACAACCATGTAATTATAGGTTTATATTCATTTACTTTGAAGACGTGCTTCAAATAGAGAAAATACAGTACTGATGTTTCACTACAATCTGGTGGGATTGCTTTCCACAGGAAAAATAGCAAATTAAACGGAGTAGGGCAAGTATAACTGCTTATTTCATGCCCATTCATGACAATCAATAGTTGCAATGGACACTAATTTTATCCATGTTCAATGACCAGGTTTCTTGTTTTGAATGGAGAAGCCACTTAGTCAAATCCAATCACAGAAATAGAAACTGCAAAAGCGAAGGGGGGTGGGTGCTTGATCAGACATGGGCGTTCTAAAATGTGTTGAACACTGTATATAATAGAAGCATTTCTATTGAGATGCACTTATTAGTAATATAGTGCATTTCTTTTTGTATTAAATTGGTGAAAAAAAAAAACGTGTCATGCTACCAACCCTCATCAAATTGCTCACACTGTTTGCAACATCAGATAGGCAAGAGAATGGTTAGATGTACTTTCAAGGTATTGGTCAAGCATTCTTGAACATCTATACAAGTTTTTAATGGATGGCCATTTTCAATTGTCTCACTTGAATAACAATACTGAAAACTGAATTATTTTCGATTTACACCAATGCATATTATATTTCATCACAGAGTCAGAATCGTACCTCCTCTGTTCTCTGGAGATGCATGTTCATACCTAGCATGACCAACTTTCATAAAATTGGTTGCTTAGGATTACTTCAAACTTTAGTTTCTGTCCTTTTCTAGACTTTAGATGTTTTAACAGTCTCTTTGATCAGCATTCCGAAGCAGCTCACACAGAGCCCAAAAAGTTGAGTGGAAGCAAGTATACACAAAGCAGAATTCTACATGTTGAATAAACAAGCTGTTCTCTGATTGGTCTAATTGTTTGGTGTTAGGGTTGGGTATCCAATCAGGTACAATTTTGTAAGTAGCTTAGTGTTGTATGGGGGTGTTTGAGCCCATAATGAGCAATATCACCTCCAAAAGATAAGTACTGGTACTGAGCTTATGTACTTGATTTGAATCCACTTGATTGATTTATTTTGATATTTGTTCAGCACCTCATGTATGTTATAATGTACATTTGTGTAGCAATTTTCTCACAGGAGAAGTTCTTACTGGTCAGTCAGAAAAAAAAATGTACCAAATACATAATTATGGATCTAATAATAACATCTTTATTCAAACTACAGCCAAGATCTTTATTTAAAGACAATCACAAGGCTAGCATGATTAATACAAAGATCTTCAATAAAAAGTTAGGCAACATAAATACAGTACTTCTACAAAATATTAACAGTAATAAACTGAAAATCACATATTTTAGAAATACAAGATGTATAAATTTGTTACTGTCTTATGTCAGTAATAAACAAAGTCAGAAAAAACAGGCACATATTTACTGAACAATAACGGAATATTTAACCTTACAATATAAAGGCTGCAACTACGTGTATGCAATGTTGTGGCAATTAAATAAAAGTGCACGTTCTTCTTTCTGATACACAATTGTTTTCGATTGCGAAAAAGTGGTTATTAAAAACGTCTTCCTCGACCCATGCCCATTCCCATACCCATCGCCAGTTCCATACCTGGCCTTGGACGCTGACCCATACCACCAGGATGCTGCCCCATGCCACCAGGGCCAGGACCCATGCCACCAGGGCCAGGGCCCATACCAGGACGTCCCCTCACACCTCCACCAAACCCAGGATCTCCACCCATACCAAAACCTCTATCCATAGCTGGATTCATGCCACCTCTG